ACAATAGAGACAACCAAGAATTCAGTAGTTCACCTCGTTGTCTCTCTCGTTCGACGCGAGAATGTCTCTCGGTGTTGCTTCGAGGCGCCTTTATCCTGCTGTTCGCGCGAACATCGCCTAATGAATCCAGCCAGAGACAATGAACGGCCTCTTCTAGAGCAGCCGTCGGCATTGTATGCCGGGACAATTTCATTATGGGCCTCGTAGCGGTCTTTTTCCGAGACGTTGTCGCTGCTGATTAATTCAGACCCGTGGCCAACGCGTTGGAAACGCGCAAGGAGTTTCTCCTCGGTCGAGGAATTCGACCAGGACCAACCCCACCCTCTCCCCGCCCCCGGTTGACCCAGGGGCTCGATGACGAACCGGAATACCATCCGCCTCCGGGTTTCCTCTTTCCAAATAGATCGTGACGTCGTCGCTAAGGATCTCACGGAATGCCCGCGTATTGGATTCACAGAGCGAGATGGAAGTTCCTTCGCGAGGGTGGCGATCGTTGGAATGTCTCGGGGCTCGGGTGAATCAGGAGTGTTTTTAAAGAAAGTTGGAATTGATAAGTTGGCGAGTGAACGGTATTCTCGTGAAAATCGGGCTCCGAAGCTTCCGAATATTCACGCGAGTTTATTTCTAATTTCATTTTGATCTCAATCTGTTTATTTATTTTTATTTCTAATTTTATTTTTCATTTTAATTTGTAACTCTGTTTGCGAGTATTAAGACGTTTATGCAGAGTGTAAATGTATAAAAAGTATTGCACCGTGTTGTTGATGGCTCTCATACTTGATTCGTTTGCGTTCCTGTTCCACGTGCTTCGCAAATCATTTCGCGAATTTCAGTTCGGATTCTGTGTAAAGTAAAATAAATATAAAATCCCTTTGACCGTTTAATTCGTACTGGAGTATCATACATGCAAGATAATCGTATAATAAAATAATTCATTTGCTTATTAGTGATTCAAGGAATACATACAACATGTTACAGTATATTTAATAAATATATATTTATAGATGAATGTATTCTCAATTTGTTACATGCTCATCATTCCATGAATACTAAACTTTTAGACTTTTGGTGATTGTAAACATCCGAAGTATGAAGTATTAAAAATGTATAGGAGCATTATATGGTTAATGAAATTGGCACTTTAATTCTTAAATTGTTCATTGAATTTACTGTTTTTTTTTTCTATTTTATGTATACAAATCTACGGGTCAAAACTTTCACAATGAAATAATCGAAAAATTATTAATTCACTATCATATAATATCCTATTATTTCTATTATTAACTGGCAACAAATTTACAAATTATTTCTTAAATCATTACCACGTTTCTAACGAAACTAGTATGTTTATAAACAGAGATATACGTTTCATTATTTTAAAATTAATTACAAAATTTTCCCCCTAAATCCTTAAAGTCTCTTTATTTAAGTCTCGAAATTCGATGCTGTTAATAACCATCGCTCGAAGGATCGATTGGGGTAAATTAAGGAGATCAGTGAGAGACCTGACAGTCCGTTTGTTAGAAATTTTCTCTCGTCCTTTCTATTTACTTTTCAACCCTCGACAGAAGACGAATCTCACACGTCGCCGCGCAAAGAGGCCGATTAATTAATCGCAAGGAGGCTCCCGTGCCCTACACGGGAAGGAGAGAAACTGACAAAACACGAGGGCGAGATAGTCTCACGCCATAGTGATGATGATTTGTCTCGTACTTTCCACAATTTTGCCGAATTAATGGCCACACCTGTAGAAACTGCCTTCTCGGCTGGCACTTCTCTCGGAGGATCGGCTCGAGAGAGGTCAGAAGGAGTCCCGGTGCTTCTTCCAAAATAAATCACTGCCGCCAGTTCTCACCCTCTTTTGCGAATCCCTCTTCGTCCACGTTCCCTTTTGTCCCTGGCAAACGCGGCACGAGTAAATATTCAGTGCGTCCGCGTGTAACATTTATGATAAAGTTCGGCCGACGCTTCATTTATTATTCATGGAGGGAAGAAAAGAGAGAGAGAGAGAGAGAGAGAGAGAAAGTCGGCCGGTTTTTTTCGAGGGCCACTTATACACGCAGCGATCAAATTAAAAAAGTTTCCCTTTAATTAATGCCGTTGTCGGTTCCGACTGCATTCGGGGCTTTTCGCGCGAGAGAAGGATCGGTCGCGAGAAATCGGAAATTTCCTTCCCCTATCTTTCCGACCTCTCTGCTAATTTTTCAAGGAATCTCGCTTTTAATTAGATCGACCCACCGCCGGGATATTAATTACCGAATAAACAGGTCCTCGCCTGGAAAGAGGCATCGAGTGACTCGATGAAGATTCTAATTGAATTCTTTGAGCGAGAGCCATTAATTTCCCATTTAGCTGATCAAGAACCAAGCGGCGAAACAACGTACGAAAAACATCGTGATAAATCCGTGATTTTTATGAAATGTAATGTTGGCGTTGCTTGGTAGCTAAGATATTTGGAAAGTAAACGACTCGTTGAATAAGTTTGTTGAAAATGGTTTCCTTAATTGATTTCTGAATTAATTACATGAATTAATAAGTTGAAAGTGATCTCTTTTTTATTTTGTTGATTTCTTAATACGACGATGAAGGTATTTATAATCGGACGATATTAAAAACGTTAAATACGAAGTGAAATCAAATATCCACGCTAATGCGGAGCATCGTTTAACGTAGAAGTTGGGGACAACAATGGCCGAGATGCGTCGGGCAGCATCATAAACATGCAATAATGCTTACCTCCGCCCTCGAGGGCTTTCATAAAAACTAATTCTTCCGTTTAATTTCGCCGCTTTATATCACGACGTTCTCCCTTATTATTACGCTTATCTTATCAAGCTGCCGACTCCCTTTCCTTTCTGTTTCGTCTCGAAAGTATTGCACTGTACCATACAATCGACTACAAAAAATTAATTCACTGAATAAAATGGTGTTCGTTCATTTAGAATCTTGTATATATAAAATGATTATTTAGAATCTTTTTGTTCATCTTCAGCGGTAAATTGTTTTTTCGAGATGTTTTTGTTGATTTTCTGACTTCACTTTCTGACCAAACAAGGAAATTTTTAACATGATATGTATAGAAGATTCAGAAATCAGACTCAAAATCACTTTGTAAGTCATTGTAAGTCATTCAATAACAAATATCTTTTTGTTATAGAAATTGTCAGTCAACGGAATAAATTTGTTACAACAATTACGATATTGTATTTACATTGTTTCATGGACTGAAGATTTCGATAAGAAAATTATGTTTGTACTGCGCAATTCACTTTCAATACGAAATTATTTACACTGATTAGCTCCTGAGCTCTCCATATAACGAAAACGAAAACGAAAGAAATACATCTGAAAAGTCGACAAAGATTTATCAAAGCCGGGATTACAACTATTGACATCAGCACATTTTCACAGCTGCAAAGCAACATCCTTGAGAATTTTCAAAGAACACAACTCCAAGATCAATGAACAAAGTCAACAGTCGAACGTACCAAAATTTCTTCCCCTCGTGGAAAATAAGAGACGCGACTTTTACCGTACTCTGCTGCTGATAGTTCCCAAATGGAATCCTGCCTCCACTTTCTCGTAATAGTCCCTCCACGGAATGGAAACTCATTCTTTCAAAGAATTTCACAATTTCTGCCCTTTCTTGTCCGCTTTCCTTAGCCCCGGCACGAAGCTGTTTGTCACCTGGTTTATCGCTGGTGCCCCTCGTGAGCAGACGCTCGCCATATGAGTTACTCGGTACGGTGGAAAAACTTAATAAAAATAACGGTATTACGAAGGAGGGAAGAGCAAGGGCTAGAGGTCTGCTCGGCAATTACCTTCATCCCCGGTGGCTGTCTGGTAAATATAATGGCCGGCCAGGCCGCGAAGAGACAGCCACGGCCGGTGGCCAAATATATCGTGGCAGATATTGTGCCAGCACGCTTCCACTACTACTATCTCTTCAGGCTTCGTGTGCTCGTTACGGGATATATCCTCGATACCAGTCGATTCTTATAAACGGTGGCCCGTATCTCGTTGACAGAGGGGCACGCGATCGCTCGACCATGGGATTACGCGGTGAATTTACTCCGCTTGGTGCTGCCACCCTTCCTGAAGAATTCTGGGAATATCAGCGCCGTTAATTAAAGGATTATGTTATGAGTCTCGTTACACCGACGAATATTCTAATGCTTCTTTTTTTCTTTTTCTTCTTCTTCTTTTTGAAGGGCTTTATCGAATCTCGCGTGTTCTCGCAGCAGTCTCGTGCCATGGGATCAAGGAATATTTATGATAGTCGTAGTCTTTTGTTAAAAATGAATTGTAGACCAACTTCGTCTTTTAATGATTTGATTTTTTTTGACGACTGTTTGTTTAAGGATACAATCTGATAATTTAACAGTACTTGGATAAACTTAATAATAATTTTTATAGCTAGGTGATAGTAATTATTATTGTAGAATTTAGTACATTTTAGTAAATGCGAGATTTCATAGCAATTAGTAATTTATTTGTACAAGTGTCCTTGAAGGATTTTTTGTCAGTTTGTTCAAAAGTATCAATGATGTAATCCTTGATGCCAACTTCGTGTGATCTTTAAATGATCTCAATTGCCAATGACATAACTTCAATAATGAAATCATTTCGAACACGAATGATATAACCTCGACGAGCCTGTGATCTTTGACCGACCTTGAGAATCAGTATATCTACAGTCTCAGAATTCTCCTCGATCTTTAAACGGACTCGAAAGGCAATAACCTCACTTTAAGTATCTTCAGGTGATGTTATATAGCCTTATCCCAGTAACTCGAAATGTTTCCTACGTGTTTCTTCTTAGATGATTTCCATTGGGAAAAATACTCGCGAGGGCTGACCTTTCGGAAAGGTTTTTATTCTCCTGAAAAACAAGAATCCATAAGAATTTCAAACGTGATCTAGTTCGTCTTGAAAACTACTCTAAATTGCATTATCGAGTCGTCCATAGAAAAACTGAGTCATTTACGTCCACATCCAATTTTTTTTTTTTTTTCTTTTTACTACTTTAAACTTCCCAAAAAATGGAATAGTTTTGGATTATTTAATAGAGTTTTTACTACAGGAAATTTACTATTTACCTTAATTTAGTACTGGAAATTTCGAAGTGCAAAATTGCACAAAATGGATAAAAAGATGTATAAAAGTATAGTGCTTTCTATATAATATTTAATGTAATACAATTTTTTGGCGAGATTCTTCATTATTAAAAATTTAACTTTAAAAATATGAATTTTTATAAATATCTGCAGTCTACTTGCAATGAGTAAAAATAATCGGTTCACTTATTGTTGGTAGAGGTTCGAAAATTATAAAAAAATTGAAACAGATTTATAATAAATTCTCTTTATTGGGTATTAAATTTTTAGACTTTTGACAATTTCAAATACCTACGGGGCATTTGAATTTCAAAAAATGATTAGATTATTACGAATCAGAAATTTTGAAATTTTATAAATCTGTTTCAAGGCAACATAGTTATCTCCGTCATTGTTCGAATTATTATGTTTCTCGAAATTTACGACTATTTGATGCAGAAAAAGAATCTAACGCAAGAGACATCGGCAACGACGTTCTTCAATTTCAAAATACGGCGCAACGCGTGAGGAAAGAAAAGGAAAGTGGGACGCGATTTTCCCATTCGATATCGAGGCCTCCGTGGCAAGATAATCGAATCGGTTCCCTGGAGGGCCAGTTAACCCGACTGTCGGGCCATGCACCCCCATCGCGGACGGGACCGGAAGCGAGGATAATCACCGGTGTTCGCGACCAGTAATTTTCGGCGGAGGAATTTACGGTAGCGATAAATCGAGCAATTATCGCGATAAAACGCGCCGCGGGGAACGAACCGGCGCGAACTACCACGGGGGGAAAAAGAAGATCACTAGACCGAATATACGAGCAACGAGAGAGAATCCATGAAATAAGAGGACATAACGAACAGGGGGAGGAAAAAGAAAAGAATGTTACTCTCGCGCGAGATAAAATGAAAAATGAACCATATTGGCGCTAATTATCAGGAAGTCGGTCAAGGGTCGGCCACTTAGGTGCAATTTAGATAAACATCTGCTGGTGGTGTTGCTGGCTGGAAAATCGAGAAACGTTCTTGTGTGTGTGTGTGTGTGTGTATGTGGGAATAAAAAGAGGATGTACACAGCTACAACGTCTGCCGGTCCTCGGTTAAGCTACAAGTGATCGTATTTTAGAATTACAGCTGCAAGGATCACCGACAAATATTTGCCGTCCTTTCGGGTCGGGATATAGGTGACATTGTCGCGTGTAATTCTCGGATTTATGGGGGATGATCAAAGAGGAGGAGAGAGTGTGACGTGATACATCCTTTGTGGTTTCCTCGAACGAATTTAGGTGGTTTTTAAACGTGTTTTGATTAGAAAAGTGTGTGAACTTTTATGCGAGTTACTTACTAAGAAAAGAGAAGAGAGAAAAAAACATATGTGGAAGAGAATGAAAAACCAAAATTGGAGAGGAAGAAACGCGAGGGGAAAAGAGAGGCTAAAATAAGGAACAAATAAAAATGAAAAATATAAGAGGAAGAGAAGAAGGGGGGGG